AATTTTTAATTCGAGTTGAGATGTAATTCTATGTGAGAGCTTTTTACTGCAGTAAAAAAATTAGATATAAACTGTTTCTGAAAGCTTTTTATTGTAGCAAAACTCGAATCAGTAAAATGAACGGAGCCTAGTAAATATTCAACGATAACGACTAAAACAAAACAGAATTTCAATACTTGTGCGTCACCGAGAATAAAGACATTTTCAATTGCTTGAGCAAAGAAAGGATAAGACGCGAATTTTCTATACTACACGATTATTAAATTCGTATTATTATTATTGTTAATACTATTCTTTTGGAGCAAATACTTGACTAAGAACTTAAAATAATAGCATTATGCATAAACGAGTATGACAAGAAAAATGAAAGTAAACGCATTCCTCTACCTTAACACTATTATAGTTTGTTTACAACTTTGTCTAAACTTTCAGCAGAAAACAAGAATTATGTATTTCAAACAGATCGCTCATAGAATAAGAGTGAGATATCACGCGTTTTGCTTTCATCACTTTCCAAAGTCTATAGAATAACTTTCACACACCATAAACTTTTCATTGTCTTCATCGTTTTCTTTAGCCATGATAACTCAAAGGTCCCTTTACACAGCTCATGTTGGGATTGTATGCTTGCTCATGGTTTTTTCTGTCTGTTCAAGTGCTGGGACTTCCAAGATTAATGGGTGCATAGAGAAGGAAAAGAATGCTCTTCTCAAGTTTAAACAAGGCCTAGGTGATGAGTCAAATGTTCTCTCCTCTTGGGAAACCAAAACAGATTGTTGCCAATGGAGAGGAATCACAGGCAACAACGAAACCGGTCGTGTCATCATGCTTGATCTCAGTCACAACATTTCTGATGTCTTCTCCGAGGAGCAACCATTGTCAGGTGGGATCATTCCTTCACTTGTTGAACTCCAATACTTGAGTTATTTGGACCTCAGTTTTAACAGTTTCGATGGACTTGAGATTCCAAACTTTATTGGCTCTGTTGCTCTATTGAAACACCTCAAACTTGCAAGTGTCGGTTTTGTTGGAACAATCCCCCACCAGCTTGGAAATCTTACGGATTTGCACACTCTTGATCTTTCTATGAACATTGAACTTAATGTCACTGATCTTGATTGGTTGTCTCGTTTACCTTCATTGAGATACCTCAACTTGTCGCGTCTAAATCTTTCTGAAGTTGTCGATTGGTCGCAATCTATAAACAAGCTTCCTTATTTGTTAGAGCTTCGATTATCTTCATGCGGTCTTACTAATGTCAATCCTAGTTCATTTATGCTCAACAATTTTTCCAACTCACTTGAACTTCTTGATCTCTCTGACAACCACTTTGATCCTTCGATATTTTATTGGTTGTCGAATATCAGCACCAATCTGGTTCAAATTGGATTAAGTGCATGCCAGATGAAAGGTCCAATCCCAGATGTTTTCACAAACCTGGTTTCTCTAGTGTCTCTGGATCTTTCCTATAATCAACTGGAAGGTGGGCTACCAAAATCTTTTCGGAAGTTATGTAGCTTGGAATCACTAAATCTATGGGAAAATAGACTTTCAGATAGACTTTACGATTCTGTGAAAAACTTGTCATGTTCTGAGAAGACCCTTAAGCACCTGCTTTTAAGTGGCAACCCCTTTTGGGGACCATTTCCTGATCTTACAAAGTTTACATCCTTGGTAGAGTTGTACATAGATGGTACAAATATTAGTGGTCCTCTCCCAAAAAGTCTTGGCCAGTTTTCCAAGCTAGATTCCTTGAGCTTAGTTTCTAATAAGCTCAATGGTTCATTACCAGATTTTTCGGGACTTTCATCTCTACGATTGTTATTTCTCTCCAACAATCAACTGAGTGGATCTGTGCCTGAGAGTCTGGGGCAACTTTCTAGCCTTGAAGTGCTGCTTCTTTCTTCAAATTCCTTGGATGGTATCCTAACAGAAGCCCACTTTTCGAACCTCTCTCGTTTGCAGTCTTTCGACATATCTCAAAATCCATTGTCTTTGAACCTGAGTTCAGATTGGATTCCACCTTTTCAACTTGACTCAGTAGTCATGATCTCTTGCAAAGTGGGCCCTGCCTTTCCAAAATGGCTTCTATCACAAAGGAAACTTCGGTCTCTTCATATGGCAAACGCAGGAATTTCAGACTCAATACCTGAAGGGTTCTGGGATCTTTCAACCAGCTTAACTGAGTTGAATCTTTCTTCCAACCAAATTAATGGGAAGCTACCGGATCTATCTTCAACAATTACACTTATTTTTCACTGGATTTGAGTTCTAACCGCATGGACGGTCCAATCCCGCTTATTCCTCCAAGCCTAAGCATGTTCATTGTCTCCAAAAACAGGTTCTCAGAGTCTCTGTCATCCTTGTGCAAATCACAATCTCCATCATTATCTCATCTTGACATTTCTGATAACCAACTCTCAGGAGAAATTCCCAGTTGTTGGACTCAATTTCAAGGACTGCTCTTCTTGAACCTGGCAAAGTATAACTTCTCTGGGAAAATACCAAATTCCTTAAGCCACTTACCAAACGTTATGTTGTTACGTTTGCATGAGAACAACTTGTCCGGAGAAATGCCATCTTTAGAGGGCTGTAAAGAATTGAGGGTTGTTGATCTTGGAAGGAACAGGTTATCTGGTAGAATACCTAGTACATTGGCAGGGCAAAACTTGCCTAAGTTACTAGTTCTACGCTCAAGGCACAACGAGTTTAGTGGAAGCCTGCCTTTGAGCCTATGTAGTTTACCTGCTCTCCATGTTTTGGACTTCTCACATAACAACATATCTGGTGTCATTCCAAAATGTTTGAATAACATGACAGCTATGTCTTATGAGGTGACAGACAACATAATTCTTGGGTTTGTGCAAGTGGTGTGGAAAGGAATAGAGATCGAATTCGGTCAAAATCTTAAGCTTCTTAGAAGTGTCGATATCTCGAGCAATTCCTTAAGTGGGGTTATTCCTGAAAACATCACTAATCTCTTGAAACTAGTGTCTTTAAACCTGTCAAGGAACAACTTGATTGGAGGCATTCCTAACTTTGATAAGTTGAGCCTTTTGGAATCTCTGGACTTGTCAAGAAACAGGCTTTCGGGTAGCATTCCGACAAGCTTTTCTAGCTTGAATTTTCTGAGCTATTTGGACTTGTCCTACAACAACTTGAGTGGCAGAGTTCCACTAAGCACCCAAATGCAGAGCTTCAATGCCTCTTCATTTACAGGAAATCTTCAACTCTGTGGACCACCACTCACAAAATACTGCCCAGGAGATGATATTGATCAAGACCGGGGTCAAGTCACCGATAGCGGTGGAAGCAACGAGAATGAAGAAGATGATAATGGGTTCATAACCTTTGGCTTTGGTGTTAGTGTCGGGATTGGATTTTTTGTGGGATTTTGGGGACTATGTGGCAGTTTACTACTCAATAGTTCTTGGAGACATGCCTATTTTCGCTTCTTTGATGATAAAAAGGAATTGATCTGCAAGAGAGCTAGAGCATTGCTCAAGCCAATATTACAGAGAGAACACTAAATTGTAAGTCATCTAGAAAAAAAATGGTTTCTTGTGTGTACTCTTTCTTTCTTTCTTTCTTTCTTTCTTTTTTTAATCACATAATCATATTCATATTTTAGCAACTAATATTTTCTGACTGCATTTTCGTATTGTTTTGATATTAGGAACAACTATCATGTTGAGGCGTAATTAGCTTCCCACCCAAGTATTAGAAGTTGGAGTTATATAATGCATACTATAGAAGGCTCTCCAAATTGTCTACATGTTTTTTCCTTTCTCCTCTAGAATTGGTAACAAAAGTAAGCATGTACTTGTAAAGTATGATACACCGCATAAAAGTAAACACCTTGAGGACTCTATATGAACATTATGATATTTTCTTTTTCTGTATGGTTGAGTTTGTAATAAAATTGTACAAAAAGTAACAACAAAAATTCCCAAACGACATCCGATGTCATCGTAAGTTGTAACCTCAAACATGAAACGACAAGTAGATTACGCTGAATAATAAATGACAATTTGTTTCGTTTTACCTTTAACTAAAGATAAAGGTGTCAAACGTGCCGTGCCGGGCTGGCACGGCACGTCCAATACCAGGCCCGTGAGGGGCCAAGGCCGGGCCTGGCACGGCCCTGCACAGGGCAGGGTCGGGCCTGAGAGGAAAAACTCAAGCCCGCGGCCCTAGTCCATATGGGCCAGGGCCGGGCTTGGGCCCAGGCTCTTCACGGGCCGGTCCAACAAATTGTATTTTTTTTTAGATTTAATTAAAAAAAGAAAATATATCATATGCCCTCAAAAGATGTGATTTTATTGAATTGACATAATATGAATAAGTACACATAAATGACTGCCTCATTAAAAACCTTGCCAAGTAAAACCCGTAGGGAGATCGGGACAAAACCTTAGCGAAGGAAAAAAGAGTGCGGTAGGAAGGAATAGTAAATTACAAACCTAAGTGCTTCCAGAAGATTCTGTTATTTCTAAGTTAGAAAAATATTATTGCATTGAATCATCCATGTATTGTTGTTTTCGTCTTCTGACATCTTCCCAGTCTTTAACGCACATTAGCCCCTCCAAGATATCTAGATGCATTTTGCTTCTCATCTCGTCAAGAATTCGGTTACTTGCACTAAATGCTTGCTCCAATACTACCGTTGACACTAGAGTTGTCAGAATGTCACGAGTTATTACGGACAGTGTTGGAAAACGATCAGTCTTGCTCTTCCACCACTGTAAGATGTCTAGTTTGTCGTCAAAGATTATAAAATTTACTTCAAAATATTTTACTAGTTTAGTAGACGCTTGTGTTGATGACGATCCTGCCATTTTTCTTTCTTCTTCAAGAAACTCCACGACGATCCTTTAGGCCCCGAACTGCTAGTTGACGTCGAAGTTCCCTGTTCTTTTTGACCTGTGTCATATTTTGCTTTATACAAACTAAATACATTTTCTAACATTCTCTTACCGTCAGTAATAGTTAGTTGCATATCTATTCCTAAATTTTTTATTGTAGCAGTCATCAATGAGTCAGTCTCATCTACCCCGCACCTAGGATCTAAAATGGTTGCCAATACATATAACATAGGACAACCTGACAAATAATTTTTAAATTTATTTTCCATTAACTTAACTATGTCTCCAAAAAGTTATGTATCCATATAATAATAAAATGTTTCTGAAATATTAAATAGTTGATGTAAAGCTAAATGTGCAATAGGATAATAAACTCTAGAAAGTAACATTGTAAAAAACTTCTAGAAATTTAAAAAAATACTCACCAATCTGCCAATCTGTATCGAAAATTAAAAGTTGATCGTTCTTACTGTTTACATACGTTGTGATAAGTTGTGAATACGAGAGTGCTACCTTCAACATTAAATAGGTGGAATTCCACCTATGTCTCACGTCAGTTGTAAACTTTCTTGGGCGCATCTGATTGTTCCTACAATATCAGAACTAGATATGAATGATAAAGATTCTCAAATATTTGTTAGATTAGATGAAATATGTTCAATTCCTGCCTGAACTACTAAATTGATTATGTGACATGCACACCG